TATTTACCAAAGGGTAGACCTTATTCTCCCAGATGGGGCAGATGAGACAGTCGGCCTCGCTTCCCAGCAGCAGGACAATATATTGATAGGGGAGACAGTCGGACCCCCTCTCCACCAGCAGAGAGATTGTCAGGGAGAGGAGCCTGTTACCCCCTCTACCCAGCGGCTGAAAGTGTGTAAGGGAGAGGAGCTTGTTACCCCCTCTCCCCAGGGGCTGCGTAGCCAACCAAGGGGAAACACTAAGCCCCCCACCAGCGCATATGGGACCGTGGTCTCTGCGCCCAAGCTACAGGGAGTACGGACAGTCGGTCCTGCTCCCCAGTGGCAGAGAATTCTACCGGGAGGGGAGAGTCTCGTTCCCCTTCCACAGCGGCAGCCTAGCCCACCAAGGGGAGATGATAAGCCCCACACCGGTGCAGATGGGACCGTGGTCTCTGTGCCCAAACCACAGGGGGTAGGGACGGTAGGTCCTGTCCCCCAGCAGCAGGGCTGTATATCCAAAGGGGAGACAGCCTGTCTTCCCCTGAAGCAGCAATACCAGGTCCAGTGGGAGGAGCCTACTAACCCTTCTCCTCAGCTGGGCTCCAACCAGGCTACTCCCGTGGTAGCGCTGCACCAGGGCAGAGTACCGCTGGTCTCTGCCCACTCAGCAACCCACCGATCCGGAAGGCTGGTACTCCCCAGAGCCGTGGTGGAGCCCCTGGACATGGACAAGATACCCACTGCAGTAACCAATTCTTGTGGGTGGGCCACTCTGTTGATTATGTTTTATGGGCGGGTTGCTGGACTAACCAAGGCACTGACCGACAGGAGGTCATATACCTTGTTAGTCTTTTTGGGAAAGGGGATAAATGTGGCGAAACCGACCTTGCCACTGGGCATTGGAGAAGACTGATTGCCAGCCTCCTGCCATGTGACTATGGCCCTTGGGATGTATTGGGGGGGGACTGGAAACACGTCATAAGCTCTCCATCGCTGCTCCTGCCGTCTGCCTACCCTCTCCCCACCACTGGTATATTTCGGCAGAGTAGGCATCTGCCATTGGTCTGCTCCGTGCGGTGCACCCACCTTCTGGCAACTGGGCACTGTGCACTTGCCCAGGATTGGCTTTGGTTCCTTTAAGATTTCACATTGTTGTTATATTGCTCTATTATATTTTTAGATGACAGGTATTGCTTATTATACCCTATATATAAATTACCATATATTATGAGTAAAATATAAGTAAAGAATGAAATACTACAAGCTCAACTACACAGTTTCATAGTTTTGGTCATAATGTGTATACAACTTGTGAAGTTATAGAAAAATACATTTAAATCAAGGGCATTTACTCTAATTAATTTTCTATATAATATCTCACACTAACACATAAAGGCACATATTTTAAACAGATGCTCTAAGCACCAGAAACACTACAGCTTGATGTAGCGGTCCTGTTGCAAGAGATGGTCACTGCAGTCTCTTAGTTATAAACACTACCTTTTCAAAGAAAATACACTGAATGCTCTACATTTATGTGGAAATTGGGAAACTAGTGATAGTATTGAGAAATATAATAAAAAGTCTGCAGTGACAAGTTGAAACAAAACGTACACTTATTAAAGTCACATGACGTTTAACTCTACAAGTAGCAGAAAAGGCAACAATAAAAAAACAATACTTTAACAGGCTAGAAATGAAAAAGAAATGGAGCCAATAAGGTTTACACCTCTCCTTTAATTGGGGATAACCCCAGTGGGAATGGATAGAAAGAAAAAGAGAAAATGGAGAGGGTAACCTGAACTAATAACAAAAAATTCTATATAGGGATAAAATTAAATA